GAATGTGCCCCAAACCTACTGACCTGCTACGAAACTCTCCTCTGTAAATTTTTATATTACAATTTAATGGCTAGTAGCCCTTAAGAAAACAAATTTCATAAATGTTTCTCTTACTGTATAGAGCAATACTGCTTTTCATTCATCTGAAATTTATTTCTTTTTTCACTATTCAAGGAATAACTCTTCATGATCAAACAATCTAATGTGAGTCTTAGAGTCTTTGCCCCTAAATCTTCTTGGCTTTCTGCTTGGTGCAGGAAGGTTTTGTAACTGCAGGCCTTCCAAGACCAGTTCAACTGACCCCATTTCTTATCAACAGAGTGATTAGGAACTGTCTTTCAGAAAAACTGCAAAGGCATGTAGCCAGAGCATGAGTAAAAGAAAAAAGTCATGACCTGAAATGACCTCAGAACTAAAGATCCTCCTTCCCACGGAACCCAAGGACCAGGACAGGAACAGAACTTGAAAGGCAGACTTTTACCAGAAGGGAGGGGTCCCTCATTCAGGAAGATCCAGTGTTAAAATGCCTTCCCCACCCTGTCATAAATGCTTAAAATCTTACCATAAATGCTTGAAGCCCACCAATCAAAACCTGTCCCACCAGCGTTTCCACATGTCAGCCTGTTCTCCCTAACCTCTTAAATTTCACCCCAAATCCTGAATGGGGGAGACAGATCTGAGGGCACATGCCCCCTGTCTCCCTGCAGATCAACCTCACAGAGTAAAGCTGATTTCTCCCCCAAAGGTTGATGCCATAATTAATTGGCTTGTTTATGTGCATTGGGTAGAGAACCCCAATTTTGTGCAGTAACAGTTTCTTCAATCCTTTGCCCTAACCTCCTACCCACTCTTGTGCATAGGGAAGATTCTAGCAAGCATGAACCTTCTTTTCCTTAAATCCCCCTCAGAGAATGACACCATCACTTTTACCACCTTGGAATAAAAGAACAGCCACATAGATACTTAATAATTCACATGCATTGGGACTTTCTCCCTCAATTAGTCTAAAATCCTCTTGAGCCATGTAAAATCATTCTTGTTTGTTGAGTCTGAGTGTTTAAGAGGCAATTTGTCACAGAAACAGCAACACCTCTGGCGGCTGGGCTGGCAAGGGAGGTCTCCTTTTTAAAGCTAACCATTCAGAATATGGTCAACAAAGGCATCTGGCTGGCTCAAGAAGGAAGTTGCTACCCCTGTTCTTGTTTTCACATGAGTTTTATTTTCAAATTCCTGAGGGCACACAGAAGGGTGGGAACATCTTGTGGCTACCCTTTCCCCAAGGCCGGCTGCAGAGCAGCCAGACACCAGCCCCTGCCCACGTTCGCATTCCAGACAGGCATTTACAAGACAGCGAGGATTAAAAGAAAACGACGACTCCGTCCTGAAGACCCAGACCTAATATCAGCGGGGCAACTTTTCATGAAAATTATTTCTCAAACCAAACTCTACTGCAAAGCAGTTTTTACTTTATTTTGTAGACTTCCTTTCTCCTAATCTTCTCCATTTTCACTGAAGAGAGAGGGAAGGAGAAATGGCATAAATTTCACCGAGAATTTCACGTGGGCTCCAGATGGGTGGTGCGGGCAGGGAGCCCACCACTCCGTGGAGGTAAAGATTCAGAGGTGGTAAATCATCGGAATGTGGTCATGTTATAAATCAAAGCCGCCGAGCAAATTCCTTTCTTTACCTTTCTGCTTTGTAAATCTCCAAGAATGGCTAGTTGGCCCTCGGCATCAACAATGACTGGTCTGCTTTACTGTCACTTGGTCCTGCCTGCAGTCCCAGAATGCCTCTCCCAAATGAGAAGCTCACATCTTGCATGCAGGACAGCATCTGAGGGAGAATATTATACAGGCACCAGCGATGCCTATCCTCTCTGTCCTAAACAATGGCTTCCTGCTCTCCCTTCTCTCCCCTACATGTCTTCTAAAAGCCTCTGCGAAATGCACGCGCCCAGCCTCCCTGAGCTCCTCCCATCCCCCAAATACACCGAAGTAATAGAAAAGAGGAATTAGTCAAGTGGAAAAATGATTAAGCAGGGAGGTTTATCTCCAGGCACAGCCTGCCTGAAGGGAGGAGAAGTTTCATCCCCTCCAGGGAGCAGGAGTGCATGGGGGATTCTGTGCAGTCCGCACCCGACCCTCAGGGCGCCCATGTCTCCCCCCAGCGCTGCGGGAACTGAGAAAGGTGTCGAGGGACACACTGCGCATGTGCAAAAGGGTAGCCTGGGAGCCGAGCTTTCCCAACCCGGCGTCATTCAGGGCTCTGCGGCTGGAGGCCACAAAGATGGTATGTGACATTCCTGGGGTGACACGCGGGGCAGCCACTGGAGTGAGGAGAGTGAGGCATTCTCCTCTGGTGTAAAATTTAAGGGGCCCCCCAAAACTCAGTAATCAAGATAAATAATATTTTAATGTGATAGTTTTAAAAATCAAAATAAATGCAAAAATCCATGAAGAACAAACTATGAAAATTTTACATAAACACAGGATCAATAAGGTTTCGAGAGAGATCCTAAAATCTGTGAATTAAGATAAAGGGACAATGTACAGATCCCAAAAGACAGCCAGAGCTTCCAAATGGCACCAACAGTGGGCTTGCAGGAGGTCACAGCTCAGTCAACGATCTGCAGCCTCTGAGGCCTGGAGTCACAGCTGCGCTTCTGCGCCACCAAATGCTGCTCCTGGCCCCGGCTCTCTGGGGAGCCTGCGCTTCCCCAGGAGCCTGTGTCTGCGTGTTAAATAAAGCCAGGCACACGGGGATTTTCCCGATCACAAGGCTGAGCAAGGCCTCTGGCAGCGAGATTGTGTTTAGATTCCCCTTGACTCACACTTTCCTGTTTATTTCCCATCCCGGCTCAACCGCACTACGCCGAGGCCAGGTGCGGCGGGGAGGACATTCCCAAATTGGCCACAAGGAGGCGGTCAAGGGCAGCGCTCAGTGCCAGCCTGATTTTCTGGAACCAGGGCTCCACGCGCTTGGGCAAACTTCTCACTCCTTTCCTCTCCTCTCACTGTGTTCCATTGTTTCCATCTAGAAGTTGTGAAAAATCACAGGCCAAAAAGCCCCTCATGGAGCTGGAAGAATAAACACCTCGGATGCATTTTTAATCTGTGAGTGACTTAGCGCTCGCCAGAACTTCACAGCAAAGTGTGCTCAGCGTATAACTGAGCGTTTTGCAGAAGCGCAGCCCCCACTGAGAAAGCACCAGGCACCCTCAGCAATTCCTAGGTCAAGGCTGCCACCGGATCCCGCAGCCTCTCTGCCTGAGGCTTGCTTCCTGAACTCCGCCAGTATCTCTGTGCGCTGCCAACCGCGCTTGGCTGCAGGGGAAATTCCTGCCTGCCAGACAAAGGGTCCATTATCCACGAGGCTCAATGGTCTCCAGGTATGCGGGAAGGCGCAGAGGCATTTATTCTTATCTTCATTTTATTTTGCAAAGCACAGGCTATCTTTACAGAGACCTGAACCTCAATCATTTCCTGCAAAGCACAAAGGAGAAATTCCACTGCTTGGCTGGCTCCTGCACTCCTGCCTCAAGCCAGGGTGGGGTTAGGAGAGCACAGGGCTCCCTAATCCAGACGGAAAGCCCCAGCCTGCTGTGGCTAGTGTGGAAGCTGTCATCTTGACACTGCTCTGGCCCAGGATGCTGGGTCGGTGTACACACCCCTCTGTGTCCCTGTGCCTTCATTTGCAAGAGGGGCTAATAGGAACTGGAGGCCCAGACTTCCCTCTTCTGCCATTTAATTAACTATGTGACCTTAAAAAAAAAAAAGGAAAAAAAAGCAGGAGGATTGGCAATAGATGTTAGCTTAGGGCTGGTCTTCCTCAGCAAAAACATTAAAAAAAAAAAAGGAAAAAAAAGCAGATTTTCTGTGGCTCTTTCTTTTATTTGTAAAATGAGGGACCCTGGATAATTAACCTAAGATGAAGTGTACAAAATTTAATATTAAAAATTAATATTGATCATGCAAATAATAATAGGGTTTTTTAAGACAGCTAGGACAATGTCAGGACCCCGTCTGCCCTCGTTGTCATCTGCAACTGAGGAAACAGAATCAGGATCCCTCCCCACATCTTTCTTCTCCAAGCAAGGCATTTGCTAGGTCTTACGTGGCAGAATTCAGCTGTCTTCTGCAGGGGCCAGACCATGAAGCTTTTTGTGGGTTGACCCTGTTCCTGTCCCCTCCTTCCCCTGACCTGAATTATCTGCAAACACAGGTACTGAGTTGGAAATTTGAGATGGGAGGTGAGGTGTATGAAGCACCAGCACAATTGGCAAAGAGGTCTAAATCCTCATGACCTGTACATTTTGTTAAAGGGCCAGGAAAAAAAAAAGCAGAGCAAGATAGAAAGTGAATATCCAATATGAAAAAGCAAATGATAACGTGTAAGGCAGAAAGAATCCTCCTGCTTTTCTTAAAAGCTAACAAGGAAAAGCTATGCTAACAGGGGCCAAGCCCCTCCATCCTTTCGTGCAGTGGTGGGGCGAACAGCTCCATGTTTGTGGCTTTCATTAGCTGTTATGGGGGGGTTGGCCACATTGCCCCTCTTCTTCCAGCAGCCATTCATTTCCTCCCCAAGACTGCCAGACAGTGGCACGGGGCTGGTGCACACCCATGTCATAGGGCTCAAACCCCAGCTGTTCAGGCTTCTGGGATGGGGGAGGAGGTTCCCGAGAAACGAGGCTCATTCTGCAGTCTGTCCCTCGCTATTCCCTATCCCGGGAACAGAGGCAAGCACTACTAGCCTTTTGCTCGAGCGGCTCACCCCAGCCAGTTCTGAACATGCCAGCCCCAAAGGCAGCTTGGACCTGCTGCATCCTCAGCAGGCCAGTCCTCAATGCTTGATGTTAAATCAGTGAAGTCTCCGAGTACTTGCGTTAATTACAAATCAAGACCGAATTAACATTTGGATACAGCGGTATGTGTTCAGAACAACTATAAAAATACACACGTGCAATAATAAAGGGGCATCAGAAACCGCCTTCTGAAGCTTACCCAGAGATCGTTCTTTCGTCTGGTTGGTCGACCTCACCACCGGAAGGCTTGCTCGAGTCCGGCTGCCTCTGGAAAAGGGACTTGGAGCTTCTCCCTCAGACATGGCTTCCAAAGAATCAGCAGACGCCTCTGATAAATGCTCGATGGGGTCGCCCAAACTGGGAGGTTGGGGACTGTGAGACAGTTTGGGGCTTCTTGTCTGCAAAAGGCATTTGAAACAGAGTGGGAAAATAGACTGTTATTAATGATGCTAAAAATATTTTCAATGCCATCAAGGTCTGCCAATCTGGAAAAACAATATGGCAGGGGAGAAAGACCATCGGAAGGACTGGACATAGAGAACTCAAGACCCAATGGGTCAAACTATCAGTTGTGAAAGTTACTGAAAAAAACATTATTGTCCTGAGTATTCCATTAAGAATTTCATCACTGGACATCTACTGCACAAAGGCCATTTTGAACAAGGAGTTGACGACAAGCCACATTATAGGAAATAAGAACAGCAAATCAATTCCTTGCGCCAAATTCTAACAGCTGTTCCCACAGCAGATGGGACTGTGCACATCTACATATACCTAAACAGACAGTGCACTCACACCCGAGGACACTGAACACAACAGTTCTTTAAAGGCTTATATCAAGACTGTTTCCAAATTCAGTGAACTAAGCTTGTGAGGGAGATATCTATATCACACTTGAATTTTTCTTTTGAGGCAGAAATCTCATAGGTAAGATTATGTCTGGTTTGCTTATTACTTACCTTGCCAATCAGCAGAAATTATTGATAACAACTTATACACACACACACACACACAACACATGATTGAATTTGTCTCTTAGTTATCTATACAGTAATGGCAGGGGGTTGAATATGCAAATGCTCACATTCTATTAGTCAATACTATTCCGTGAACATAGACAACCGGTTGAGCACTGTGTGAGAGTCAGAAAAACAGACGTGGCCCAATGTCAAAGAGTTTCAGAACTAATTGGTGAAATTAGTGAAGGTCAACAAGAAATACAAGATGGTGTATAATTAAGTATGAGCTGTATGGTACACCCATTCATCCTTTCAACAGACATCTATTGAGCATCCGCTACGTTTTTGGAACTGTGCTAGGTACTGGGGACAGAATGATGCACAAAACAGACACGATCCTGCCCTCCTGGTGCTTACAGTCTAGTCAGGGGACAGACACTGAAGACAAATTAAGAGTGCAATGAGAGTGTGTAACCCAGACTGGTGAGGGGGTGTATATGGGTGGAGAGCTGGAAAAGCATGCAAACTGTGATCTCGAGGAAGAGGGAAGTTGGAAAGTAGGAGCAAGCCAGAGGGTAGGGCTGAAAAGAGAGAAAGGCATTCCAGGTGGAGGGACAGCATGTGCAAAGTCCCCGAGGCAGAAAGAAGTGGCAAGCACTGGAGACTTGGTGGGCTGGAGTCGGGCAGAGACCAGATCACACACAGCCTCGGAGTCAAGGTGAGAATTCTGAACTTGGCTCTAAGGTACCAGAACGCCACGGAGGTATTTTAGGCAGGGAAAGGAGGCAGGGGGCCAGGATCAGAAGCATTTTTTAGAAGATCGCTTGAGGTATTGTGTGGAGGTTGGAGATTATACATGTGGAAGGTCAGAGAAAGGGAGTCAGCGAAACTCGGGGGATTAGGCTTAATGAATGCATTATCTCAGCTTTCCCCCTCCCACTGCCCGCCCCCAACTTGCTTTACATGATTCCAAGCACCTTCCAAAAGGCACACTGAGCTGAATTAATCAGGCAGGTGAGTTTTCTCTTACTAAGATGCCAAAGGTGCTGACGGGCTGGTGGTGGGATCTAGGCAGTCCCCGGGAGCCACTTTTTTGGTTTGTTTGCATTCCTTAATTTCTTTTAAGTCTTCCTAAGGATGCCAATACATTTTGAAGCACACAGGCACTTAACCTTCAAAGCAGGAGCAGCTTCAGGGGCGTACAACCTATGCAGTCCCACTCTTAAAAGGGTTCCGTGCTCTGTTGTGGCTGCCTTGAAATTCTTAACGACTTTTGGAACAAGGTGCACGGAAAATTATATAGCGGGTCCTGCCTGGGCTTTGACTACAGAGCTCTTTTCAGAGACGATGCCCCAGAGGTGCCTGATACTCTAGGGGAACCCTCAGAGGGTGGAGTCGTCAGCTTCTTTCCTCTCTTTCTTGCTAAAAGGACAAAGACACCCCTCTTGGCAGGAGCGCTACTGCACTATCCAGACACTGCACCTCGCTCCACCTCTCAGGACCTTTCCATAGGGAGAAAGAGGAATCAGGTCGGCACACAGCCTCCTGCACCCCCTCAAGTGCCAGACGTGGCTTTGGGGAGGGGCCAACCTGGGTATTGCACGGAAACTCTCAGCTCAGATTACATGCCAATATCACAGCCAGAAAGGACACCCACTAACCCAGTTAAATTGTCTCTTTTGTAATTTTTCTGTGCAAGCCCCCAAAGTGGTTTATTCCTGGATTTATTTTTCATTAAGTCTGCTTCTGTTACAGAGATTGGGAATCTGGCTTTGGCACTCTTGAAGAGTATGATTTGACTAGAAAAATCAACCCTAAATCACTACCCAGCTCACCAAGATTTACATAAATTCCTATGGTCTTCAATGAAGTCGCTACCTGGTTACTATGCTCAGCAGAATATCAAGCTAAGATGTCCTCATCTTTGACTTAAAAAAAAAAAAGACACATTTAGTTTAGCAAAATAGCCAAGAAATAATATTCCTTGAAGCAACATGGCTACATTTACAACCTCTGCTGGTTTGGTTATCTTTGCAACCTACAGCAGACATAACACATTTCATGAGTTGTCATTTTCCATTGCAAAAGGCAATAATCCTTGAAGAAAATCAAAACCAAATTTCTATTTCTCGTTCAGCGTCACTGTGGTGGTAGTAGGTATAAAAATAAAGATGTAAGGGCTCAATTCTTTTCTTTTTAACTTCCTGTAACAGCTACTCAGTTCCAAATATAAACTCCTCTCATTTTTATGTCATTCACTTTCTCATTGCAAACCATCATCTCGTATTAGCAATCTCCTCACATGGTACCCTCCCCTCGGATGCCAGCTCGCTGCTGAGACATCATTTAGTGCAGAGAACAGGCAATGGCAATTGCTGATACTAGTGTCAGATACCCGTGATTTGATATACAAGAAAAAAAAAGTCAAAAGGCATTTGGAACAGAGACTCGGTACTCAGCAGTGCGAGGCTCCATGGATTAGAAGCTGTATAGGGTTCTTGAACTCATAACGCATTTAAGGTATATTTTGGAGCCAAGGATAATATACATGTAGCAGTTGGATAAGAGGAGCTAAGAGGTGTGTCACCGTGACAGTGCAGTGCAGAAAGGGTTTGGGGGAATAACTGCTGACATTATTAAAAGGTGGGTCAGGGGAGGAGGTGGGGGAGGGGTGAGGAAGTGCTACTGGATGCCCTGAGCTAGGTCACTCACTCATGTTCTCCAGTCTTCGTGCACTCAGGGGCAAACAGGAGGAGAAGGTGGGACAGCTGCTGACCTCGAAAGGAGTTTCTTCCCCCCGTGCACACTCTGAGGCATGGGAGCCTGATGTCTTTCTCTGCTGTCTCATCTGACATCGAAAAGCAGTTGGGTACCAAGTTGTCCCTGTCTACAGGCAACCTCGTGGCGGGATCATGCCTCCTGCAGTTCTCTCCAGTAATACTGAATACATGGAGAAGTTTCACTTTTATTATTTGACTTGACACTTAGCCATCTTTGAAAGCGTTCCTGCCCCTCAAACAATGTCCTGCTTCTCTGAGGAATTCCTCTCTGCGCACATGGATAAGCCCCTGAAGTCCAATGTCCCATATCCAGGGTGAGCATACACTGCAGCTTCCCTGGGACAGTCCTGCTTTGCACCTGCTGTCATGGTGTAATTATCAGTAGTAACCCCCTTTCACTCCCAAACGTATACTGGTTTGAGCAATGAAGTGTATGGTCACCCACTCCCAGCCCAGCCACTCCCACATCTTGGCTGGACCAATCATATTCTTTCCCCTGGAAATGCAGATCTGGGATGGAGGAGTCAGTGTCTATTGAGAACTTGAACTGTGAGGTCATATGAAGCTGTGGCTGAAATAAGACAGGGAACGTGAAACAGACAGAGAAGAGTACAGAGAAAGGACGAAGCAGATCTGCATAGGAAAATGGAGACGATAGACCCCCAGGACCCCAATGGGAGAGCTCAAAAGATAGAGAGGAGCTATGTGTGTCCCTGGTGTCCCAGTTCCTGATTCCAGTACACTGTCAGGCCCTTTCGATTAATTCCTTCCAATTAATTCCATTTTTGTTCTTAAACTAGTTTGAGATGACTTTGTGCCTTGTAAGCAAACCATCACTGACAAAGAACAACTCTAACAGCTTCTCTGTCCGGGCTGCTATGAGGCTCACACGTTTATAACATTAGCAATAACTGTGGAGAAAACTAAACTCTCCAGAGCAATAGTTCCCATTATTTTGTATTTTACGGATTAAATTTTCTTTAAAAAAATTATAGAAGAGGGTATACTATAGGATTACTAAGATTTTATTTTGCAAAGTTTGGGTCAGCCAAAAATGCCCTTTTCTATTGAAAATATCACTCTCTATAGTATCATTATTACTATGAGAAAGGAAAGATATTTTAATGCCAGAAAAAGGGAGGCAGGATACTCACACAATTTCAGATTTGGCCTAATAAAAAAGTCTTTATGTTGGGAGTTATTGTTCTCCTTTTGGCTCAGGTGAAGCCTGCTCTCCGTCATGCATCGTCTACAGCGTGGCGTCTCCGCCCAAAGTTGCAGAGTGGAGAGGTGCCCCTATCTGGGGAAGATGCAAGAGCAGGGGATGATGGAGATGCTCTCTGAGCCACCTGAGCAGGAATGAAGGGTTTATAAGGCTGGATTTCCCTCCATGCTTCATGGAGACCCATGACACCAACCAATCTCCCTCTGCTTCCGTCAGAACCTTCTAGAGGTTTCTCCAAATCATCAGGCGACCCCAAACCTAAAGTCCAAATGGGAAGTCCTTTGGGGTCATACAGGAAAGGGTGGTCTGCGTAATCAGGCCACCTGAACCCCACTCGTCCTTTCCAGTCTTCTTCAAAGAGGGCTTTCTATCACCAAGAGATGCTGGGGTAACAGGCTTCTTGAAGATCTCCCTTCTGCTTCATCTGCAACACG